CAAACACAAACGTGTCGCTGGTATAGTGCGTGACTGGCGCCACTTCAGCCCGGCGCTATCAATTAGGGGCCGGCGCTGTGCTGTACGAGGGGAACAATGAGTTTCAAACCGACCGCATCACAGGTTGGCGGTGTCGGCCGACGTGCGCGCACAGCCCGTCCGACGGCCACATCGGTCCGGTCCGGACAGCGAGGCAAAGGGGCTTTCCCTTGTTTCGGCCACAGGCATTGCAAGAATTCAACTGTCAAATCGCAACTCAAGTGCGCAAAAGGTTAGTTTGTTACACCTACTCATCACCCCTCCCTTTCGGGCGAACAAACGTGCCAGACATGCGAGCCGTCGAAATAAAGGCGACAATCTGCATCGGCCATATCGCAGTTCGCCGACCCCAGCTTTAAATCCCTTAGGGAAAATAACTATGGATTTGGTTTTCCTGATGGAAATTTTCCATTCAGGATTTTACCATTTCCCAGTGAGGAATTGAAACACTTTTCTATCTGGATTTTCATTTTCCATACTTCCGTTTTCCATACTTTTAATTTCCATAGAAAATAAAATCCCAGAACGCTCTGGAATCCGTATGGAGTGTGAAGCACAACTGGCACCAAGTGCCACATTTCGTAAATAACAACGTGCCTATGTGAAATTTCGCTAAAAACACAGAATATGGTGTTATTTTTGCAATCCGGGCATTCGTTTAGAAGATACAGCAGAGTTGAAAAACTCAGTTTTTGCTTTTTCCACGATAATATAGTGGCGACAAGACACTCTTATCAGAACTTAAATCAGATTACCTCTATCACACTTTGTAAAAAAGTTATAGATGTATCTGAATTTCTATTATGGAAATTTTAGAAAATCCAGTATGGGAAAAATATCCTTTAAGGAAATAAAATCTACTACATATTTCCAGACGTAATCCATAAAATGAAAAGTCAAGATTTTTTTCCAGAGAGGAAAAACTATTTTCCTTAAAGAAAGTCACAAATCCAGAGTGACACTGAAATTTCTATCGGGAAAATTAAATCCAGATACGTTTTCTTTAAGGGATTTAAAGCTGGGACCCCTCGCGACCCGCTCCTCCTGTCTGGTTCTCTTCCCCTTCCCCCTTCTCACACCCATTTTGACCTTGCGACGCGAACGCCCAGGGCGTGGAGGCGCACATAAGTCGCAAGGGTGAGAGGGGGAGAGAAATTATCAGAGTCGTTGCCGAAAACTTGAGCTGTTTTCTTGGAGCCCCGGCCCTGATGTGCGTGATCCCAGCCAACGCGACACTCTAACAGCGTGTAAGATGAGCCAAGCCATAAGGTTAATCAGATTCCCTCGTTCTCCCCTTTTCTCTTTCTTCCACCGTCCTTTCGAGACACCATCCGCTCCTCTACCCAAGCCCATTCTTCGCGGGTGACCCCGCCGAACTACGTAAGGACGATCATTGTCACGACCATGCCTCTTTCGGTAATTAAATACGGGACAAGGCCCCTCCCCACCCTTTCCTCCATTCCCTGTTTTTTCCTCCTCCTCCTTCTCCACCTCCTCCTTCTTCAAGCATCTATATCAATTTCAAGAATAAAGTGATGATGAATTTTATCAAGAATAGTTGTGGGCGAATTTTCCCATAACGCATTTTACTTATACGGCGTTCATCGCTAAACGGATCGTTTGAATCCGACTTTGAATACGACTATAGTTATCAATGTAGCAGAAAAAAAGGTCTAAAATCTACAAAAGGTTTAACTGCCTCCTCCGTCCCCCACCCAGACGATCCGACCCCACCTCTCGGCGCTGCACCAAGCGCAAAGTCCGCACGGCGCCACGAGGGCGCGACAGGACGCCCGTGGTTTGTCCACGTCAGCCGCACGACCTACTTGACGGACTATTTGCTCCCGATGGACACAGCTTTGCCGCACGAGTTCAACGCCAGTCGACAGAACTGCAACGGAACAGGAACAAACACCACGGCAGCCAGCAGCACAGTGGTCTAGTTTGAAAGGTCAGTCGAGCTCGTTTCGCGCATGATAGAAAAAGAGAATGCGGAAAACCCGACGTACAGTTCAACATTAGCAAAATCGGTGCTCACAGAAATCCATGCTGCGATGAATCAGCATTCTGTTTGTGTTTGTGTGTTGAGCAAGATCTTAGATCTAAGCAGCTCCCGCAGCGCACCTGTTTCCGGCATTAGCCCTGGCAGCAGAGATGAAGGAGAGGATGAGGGTTATCCTCTTACTGTCGGGCGGACGCTCGAATTAATTGGCAGGATGAGACTGTCAGTTGAAGAACCTTGATCATGCTCAAAGCTTGCTCATGGACCAATGTGAAATAGGTGGAGCTGTGGAGCTGTCTGCGGGGTTGGGAGAATTGGGGATGAGAAGAGGGGGACACTGCTATTCTTAGGCAGCCAGGAGAAATCCCCCCCCCCCCTC